CCACACACACACACACACACACACACACACACACACACACACCCACACACACACACGATGCAGGAAACCCAAGTCCTGAAGATCCTCTAAATGAATCCTTCCCAAAAACTTATACCATTGCAAACATCCTTGCCATTGGAGAGGGACTGCTCCAGAACACACCTGCCAGATAGGGACTGCTGCAGAACACAAGCAAAATGCTCCCTCAACCCTCAGAGCTGTCTGTGCTCTGACAGCCTGGAATCTAGGACAGAGCTCAAGCCTCAAACTCCAATCCCTGTGTTATACGATGCTGTGCAGGACTAATCTGTGGTCTTGCCCCATCTTTCATAACTTTCACCAACTAGATCTTTCCATTTATAATTCTTGGTTTTACTCTAACCCAGAGCTCTCCTCATCTCTAGTCTGTAACCTCAAGTGTATCACCATTGAAACCACCTTCCCTTCTTATTTTTTCCCCGATCTTAAGCTCTGTTACCCTACATTGGGTTGCATAAATCATTTATATGTTCCATATTCCTGGCATATCCAAGTCATTCTGAACTTAATCCCCTTCCCTTTTCTATCCATGCCCTTCCTTCCAGATTTGGTTAACTCATCCTGCCTGCACAGTCACTGTTCCAGATAAAACGCATATAAAGTGAACAAAATGGATTCTAATAAGACTTCATGAGGCTGTTTACTGGTCAGACACATACTGAACTGCTTGCTTTTACTCCAAACGAGGACCACACACATGGGGCCCTATGAATGATAGGGAACTTAAAGGTGGACCCTGAAGAGTCCATTGTCTCCTTTAAATGAGGTTCATGAGATAGAGCAATAGATCCCATAACCTATATCCTTCCGGTGGGGTAAGAAGAAAAGAGCTCTATCTTTGATACAGGGCCCACCTGATACTGTACTACATTTTGGTTTTAGTAAGTGTGAACGGCTAAAAGAGAAGTTTCTCTCAAACGTTACTTCTTCACATTAGAGACCAATTTTAGAGGCTCCATCTCAATGAGGCAAACTATACGTCGATATTCCCTAGCACATCCCCCTTAATGGGAGTGGGAAAACAAAGAAAAAAAGCGCTGAGCAGTTCTCGGCAACCAGACATAAATTAGAGACTGCTAGGAAATAGGGAATGGTGCTAGAGAGATCATATATTGCTTGACCAGGGCCCTGAGGTATTGCAGTTGTCAGCAAGGGTTTAACAAGTAGCAAGTGGCTTCAATATGTTATCACCATCCACTCTCAGCAAGTATTTCACTAACATGTGTTCTTAGAACTCCATCAGGAACAGAGGAAAAAGCAAGAAATGCATCAAAAAAGTGAAAAGGACAGAGGATACTGAAAATACGACATCCTTGTTCACTAAATAACTACTCCTACAACTCAAAGAGCCGCAGAAACTAGAGCTGTGATCCCGTCAGACAGATACAGGAGGTTTTATTACTTCCTTTACTAAAAACGTCAATTTTACAAACAAAACCAGTAATGCAAATAAATAAACAAATAATATTATGCAAGGAACATTTTTCTTAAATTTGCTCAGTCAGAATTATATGTGCATTGAAAGGCCCTGAAAACTGAGCCAAATTCATCACTGTCAGACAAATGCCAAATCAAAAACCGTGCCTCGCAAAACTCCCTTGGATCCCAAGTGAGCGCTTCTAGGGGGCGCTCTCCAAGTATCAAATGCCATATCCCAACATGGAGGTATTAAAATGAATAGTGTCACCATAAAGCAGTAAAAGAAAGACAAAAAAACAAAAACCCCTGCATCTTACCTGGAAACTGCTGAGACTCATCCAAGAGTAACATGCTGCTCACTGTACTCTGCTGACTGAGGCAAGATCTCTGTCAGTGATCGAGTAGCTGGTTCAGCGTTTTAGAGGCAGGTCAATATGGCAAGAAGTTATCAGCCTCCTCAGCTATTCTAGTCTCAGGGTCCTCAGGCCAAAAGTTTTTAGTCACTCCCAACCGTTTGTTATCTCTGCCAGGAGCACAGTAAGCACTAAAGAAGCTCTGCTAGCTTTGTGAATGTGTAACTGGGAAAATGCCCTGTGACAAAGTAGTCCAGGGCGGAACACAGGCTAAGTAAAATCCTGGTGCTTCATATTCCTGAAAATAACTTTGGTAAATAGCACTTAGTGCTCTGTTCCACAAGACCGGTGTGTGGGAATCTGTGAGCATATATCCTCCAGAACTCAGCTGTGGCTGAGTGGGGTCACTGTTCTAATACTGGTTAAATATGACTGGTTTCTAGCCTCAGTAGAAGTGTCACTATCTCCCTCCCTTGCTCAGACACTCAAACTGCACAGCCCAGCGTAAGGTAGGCACTGGATAGCTAGGAACCAATCACCAGAACTGTTCTGTCCTGTTAGCTTGGGATCAGCACATGTGCTAAATCAGAGGCAGTAACCCCAGCCACTCTTGAGAAAGGGGAAGGTTTTAAAAGGCAGAAGAAGAGCATGTAAGTGAGGTGTGTGTGTATGCGGGCAGGCGTCTCTTCTCTCTCTGGTGGCTTGAGCAGCAAAGTTGCACGCTGCTCAGATCTGATCCCATTCACTCTGCCTGAAATCCATTTCAACTAACAGCAGCAGAGGCGCAGACCAGAATAAAACAAAACTCCTTACATAACCATTCAAACTCAACTGGGGCCCCACAGAGGGGGAATTCCAACAGGCAACAGGAAATCTACAGCCAGAGATGCACAGAATCTCAACTATCAGGGGGTAGCCGTGTTAGTCTGTATCTACAAAAACAACAAGGAGTCTGGTGGCACCTTAAAGACTAACAGATTTATTTGGGCATAAGCTTT